ATCCCCCAAAAAACCAATTATTTATTAGGAATAACTGATATAGATTTTAAATTAGATTCAAATTAAGACATCCTTTTTGTGTACATGACAGCCACTAGGATTATCTTTGTGAAACTTTGAAAACAGCTGATAAATAAAATAAAAGAGATAAGAAATGGACAATTAGCCTTATTAAAAAACTCAGGAAATCCGATTAAACAAATAAACTTGTCACAGGTGGAGGAATATGAATAAATTCCAAAAATAAGAACTATTAAAAAGAAATATAAGAATTTACATAATGGTTTTCTTATGTTACAGGTTTTTTTTTGCATTTTTCTTCTTTGATACAGAAGATTACTGACTAAACAAATTTAAAAACTCAAAACGATTAGGTGAAAGTCACCAATTTTTATCTTAATTTTTATATATTTTTCATTTTTTCTTTTTAAATTATTATTTTTTTTTCTAAACTTATTTTTTTGCTTCTTTCCTATTTTCATTTTACAGTATTGCTCTCCCACTTTACTTGGAATAACAAAACACTTCCCTTTCTTCCCTTCCCTCATTACTTTAAACAAAATAATATATATATAATTAAAAAAACTTTTATGTTAAAGCAAACACCAACCAACTTAAACCATAGGCTTTTGAAATAACCCCTCTTAATGTCCCTATATAGCTTGCCTAAATTGAATTTTAGTAATATCAACATTATGCTAAATGAAAATTGACTGGCTTCTTCCCATTTGGCAAAGAAAGAATTCTTCAAAAATAAAAATAGAGAACTGGAAATAAAACTTTTTTCCTATTAGCCAGGCTAAAGATTTCATTCATCAATCTAAGAAGTCCAAAAGTAATTAGCTAATATTCTCAAATTGCTGCTATTTCACTCAAGGCCTACATGTTTCATTCTGCAGCTCCCACCCACGCCTGCACTCCCCTGCTGCTTTCTTAAAATGAATCCAAAATGGCGCGTCTCTTCTGCTTTTATAGCTTGGCATTGCCCTTAATGGAGTCCTGCAATGGGACTTCATCCCGCTTGACTGAGCATGCTCAGAACCTCACTGCCAGGCCTATGAGAATGCATAATCTGCTTCAGCTCCTCCATTTCTTAAAGGGACATTGCCCAATAAAAAGGGTTTACAAAATATTCTCAAGCAACCAGAAACTACATTTATCACAAGGGTGCCAGTTAACTGAGAATAGTGTAATAGTGATCGTTGGTGGCAAAACAGCTCACTCTCTCTATATATAGAATCATAGAATCAAAGAGTTGGAAGAGACCTCATGGGCTATCCAGTCCAACCCCCTGCCAAGAAGCAGGAATATTGCATTCAAATCACCCCTGACAGATGGCCATCCAGCCTCTGTTTAAAAGCTTCCAAAGAAGGAGCCTCCACCACACTCCAGGGCAGAGAGTTCCACTGCTGAACGGCTCTCACAGTCAGGAAGTTCTTCCTCATGTTCAGATGGAATCTCCTCTCTTGTAGTTTGAAGCCATTCTGCGTCCTAGTCTCCAAGGAACCAGAAAACAAGCTTGCTCCCTCCTCCCTGTGGCTTCCTCTCACATATTTATACATGGCTATCATATCTCCTCTCAGCCTTCTCTTCTTCAGGCTAAACATGCCCAGCTCCTTAAGCCGCTCCTCATAGGGCTTGTTCTCCAGACCCTTGATCATTTTAGTCGCCCTCCTCTGGACGCATTCCAGCTTGTCAATATCTCTCTTGAATTGTGGTGCCCAGAATTGGACACAATATTCCAGGTGTGGTCTAACCAAAGCAAATAGAGGGGTAGCATTACTTCCCTAGATCTAGACACTATGCTCCTATTGATGCAGGCCAAAATCCCATTGGCTTTTTTTGCCGCCACATCACATGTTGGCTCATGTTTAACTTGTTGTCCACGAGGACTCCAAGATCTTTTTCTTGAGCCAGGCACCCCCCCATTCCGTAAAGGCAGAGTTGCTAAAATAACTTGTGACAATCATATAAAAAAACCAGACCACAAATTGCTTTGAGTCCTAACTTTGCCTCCAGAAAAAACAGGATAATATATATATATATGCAGCACAATACCTCTAAAAGTTAATGGGAATGAATTAAAAGTATACAAAACACCTGCAATCTTTAACTACTACAGGTTGAGGCTGGATGTACACACTGCTGTATCATCCAGTTTCTGAATCCAGATTATCCACTTTGAACTGGACTTTATGAGTATACACTGCCATATAATCCAGTTCAAAGCAGATAATCTAGATTCAGAAAGTGGGGGCCCTTCTACACTGCCAAATAAAATCCAGATTATCTGCTTTGAACTGGATTATATAATGATAATAATAAACCTTTATTTGTACCCCGCTACCATCTCCCGAAGGACTTGGTGCGGCTTACAAGAGGTCGAGTCGAAATACAACAATAAAACAACAACAACAATACAGCAAAATAAATCAAAAGCAAAGCAAAGCGATAACATTAACAACACACAATGAAGTAATTAAAAACTATGGCAGGGCCAAATGTAATAATTAAAATTAAAATTATATGATACTGTAGACCCATAGAGTCCAGTTCAAAGCAGATAATGTGGATTATCTGATTTGAAAATCTAGATTATATGACCGTATAGAAGGAGCCTTCTATAGACGGTTCCTATATCCCAGGATCTGATCCCAGGTTTTCTGTGTATCCCAGATTACCTGGCAGTGTGGACTCATATAATCCAGTTTAAAGCAGAAAATCTGGAATTAGATCCTGGGATGTAGGGACTATGTGGAAGGGTCCTGGGTTTTACTGCAGTGTAGATGAGGCCCTACTATTTTTTATCCAAGGCCCCTTCTACACTGCCATATAATCCAGATTATCAAGAAGAAATTCAACATTATCTTCTTTGAAGTGGATTATTTGAGGGTCCTTCCAGACAAGGCCTATATCCCAGATTATCTGCTTTGAACCGAATTACATGGCAATGTAGACTCATGTTATCAAGTTCAAAGCAGATAATGTGGATCATCTGCTTTGATAAAATGGATTATATGGCAGTGTGGAAGGGGACATAGGTTTACAAGGCCTTTCATCTTCTCTGTTTAAAGTCTTTTCCACACAGCCACATAACCCAGAATATCAAGGCAGATAATCCAAACTAGGCAGTACTGCAAGCTCATCCCTGGTTTGTTGTTGCGAGATTTGTGAGAGAACATTTTTGGCCACGTTGAAGCTGCGATTCAGGAGGTTTTGGTAGAAATCCAACACTTTGCAGATACCCATGATGCTCAGAGTTTTTTTTTAAGCTACAAAGGTAATCTACAGACCAAGAAGTCATGGTGTACACCCTCCACACTCACCAGATGGAACCAGACTTCTAAATTGTATACCAATGATTTTATGTCAAGTTGCTTTGAGTCCCCTTTGGGGAGATAAAGCAGGGTAATAATAATAATAATAATAAGCTGGCTGAGTGTCAGCTGTGTTAAGATCACTCTGACCAAAAGGTCATGAGTTCGAGTGAGTGTCCGACCAATTGTGTAGCTTGTTGTCGACCTTTGCAACCCGAAAGACAGTTGTATCTGTCAAGTAGGAAAATTAGGTACCACCTATGTGTGGGGAGGCTAATTTAACTAATTTATGAGGTCATAAAAAAGATTCTAGCAAAAAGCACTGCAGCAAAAGCATGCGGGGAATGCGGAAGTACTTTATCAGCGTCGCAGATGGACGATGAAAGTGACAGCTCCCCTGGTGGCCAGAAAAAGTTAAATAGCCTCTGTGTATGTCTTTATACGTTGTATGTCTCATTGGCATTGAATGTTGCCATATATGTGTACATTGTAATCCGCCCTGAGTCCCCTGCGGGGTGAGAAGGGTGGAATATAAATGATGTAAATAAATAAATAAATAAATAAATAATGTACCATCAGGGTATAATGAGGAGCCCCCGGTGGCGCAGTGTGTTAAACCCCTGTGCTGGCAGGACTGAAGATCGATAGGGTCCAGGTTCGAATCCGGGGAGAGCGCGGATGAGCTCCCTCCATCAGCTCCAGCTTCCAATGTGGGGACATGAGAGAAGCCTCCCAAAAGGATGGTAACAGATCAAAAACATCCAGGCGTCCCCTGGGCAACGTCCTTGCAGATGGCCAATTCTCTCACTCCAGAAGTGACATGACAAAAAAAAAAAGGTATAATGCACAATATGTGGATGTCATGTTTGGACTGGTGTCTCATAATACTGATGCTTCCATAATATTTGATATCTCATAAAATTTTATTTTATTTTTATATAGTCTTTATTGAGATTTTCATTACAGAGAAAGTAGGAGAACATAATAATTATAGAAAAGTAGGAAAAGGAAGAGTAAAAACTAGCTATTTACTAAGTTTTTAAAAAAAACCTGTAAAAAGGAGCTGTGAAAAGTCTTTAAAAGTCTGTGTTATAAAAGAAGAAAAAAAACAATAAATGTTTTCAAATGTTGCAATACTTAACATATGCATAATATGCAATACTTGCATATAATGCATATGAAAGCATTGAAAAATCTGGGAGGAAAAAATCCAAAACCGGGAACACTTCCTGAGCATTTTGGATAAGTGATGCTCAACCTGTGATTAATAGGTGATGCTTTTTTTATCCCTCTGCGGCTGAACCTCTGGAGCCCTTGTAAATATGGCAACCTCCTTGGCATCACATAGTTGTTGGCCTGCTGTGACAAACAAGCCGTCCCATTCCCCCTGTTCTTGCTCTCTCGGCTGAACCGCTCTCATTTAGCCACAACAGGCATGACAACACAGTGGGAAAGTGCTGAAAAGAGCTAAACTATCTCCTTAACATTTTTTCAAGGGATTAATTTCACCTGCTTTTCCTGTTTCCCTGGCACAGCTTTCTCTCTCTCTCTCTCTCTCTCGTTCTCCCTTTATAAATGCAACCGGAGAAACTATTTCAATGCTTTGAGTCCAATAGAAGAAAAAAAAGGTTTTTCAAGCCTTGGCTTCATTCCCTTCCCCCTGTCCCCTCTACTTTTGACAAGTCACAAAATTGTGAAGTTAGCAGAAAAGCCAGTGGAGAGACGGAGAAGATGCCTTCATTCTTTGGAAGCAATGAACTGAAGCAAAAACGGCCATTGTAATGGTAAATTGCTGACAGAAGGGAAGAAAGGGGTGATAATCAATCAAAAATGAAGCCCTGGCTTGCATTGGAGGAGCTTAGTCCCCAAATGGGTCCAAATATGTTATTTTCGCCTTTTGCTTTTTAATATTTGGACGGTTTATGCGAAACAGGAGCCGGTTAGCAATGTCAATGGGAAAGAGGCATGAATTGAAGCATCTTACGTAAGAAAAGTTTTGCAGGAAGGGAAATGCATCCCAGCGAAACAGCATCAGAAAGTTGGAGGCTCTGATACAGAAATGATATGCCGAAGTGTGGTTTTGGGGAGTTTTCTGCGCAGCGTTCAGGATTTTGGGTCAAAAAGAAAAGGCACTCCTCTGGCAAGCTTCCTAGCAGACTATGAGGCGATTCATCATGGATGTGAGGCATTTTAATCTTCCGCTGCCCTGTCCCCAAATCCTTTCAGTTTCTGCTTTTGGCTTCATTGGAGGTTCTGGAAGACAAAGATGAGGATGTTGGACAATATAAACAGGGGCATTATTTCGTCTTCAAAAGGGAGCCTAGCCCATAAAGGAAGATACATTTATTTGGAGGCTTTGCTACACGGAGGAGCTCCATGGGGATTTACTTTGAAAGGCGGACTGGAGCACGGGGAGCCATTAATCATCTCCAAGGTAACTTTGTTTATTGGGTTTCGAGATGCCTCAAGCTGCAGATTTTTGCCAAAAGTGCTTCAAAAAATATGCAGGTGGACCAAAGTTTTAATTTCAGGAAAGTGCTAAGAACCTTTAACTCATAATCAGCAGAGTAGAGAGAGAATCTTAAAACGAATGAGATGCGTTCATTTCAAATCTATTAGCCGCAAAAAAATGCTGTCTTAGTGGCTCATCTTCCTGCAAGAAATTACTTTTCCGCACGAAAGACAAAAATGTACACCTCTAAGCCAATTGACTACTGAAATAAATTGACATGCTTGGACTTAAGCTGATCTAATTGAATTCAGGCAAGAGAGATTAAGCCTGCTTAAATCCATACATTTCGGAGTACAGATTCAAGCTGTATGTAGCAAGGTTGATTCTTTTTTTAAAAAGCCTTTTGAGTAATTAATAAATGTTTCTGTTATTTCAAAATATGAGGAACGTATGGAGTATTTGCTGTAACAGATGACACTGTTGTGTTGGTAGTTCTAGGCAAAACAGTAATCTTTCCATATCCACAAATAATGTGCAAGGTACATGGTTCCACTGAGCTCTTTTTCAAGCAGAGTCCACAAGTTAGTCATGTAAGTAACATTGGTCTAAATCAGTGGTTCCCAATCTTTTTTTTTGACCAGAGAAAACTTGACCAGGGACCACTTTGACCAGGAACCACTTGAACAGGGACCACTCTCTAACATTAGTACCAAAAGGGTTATGATGGCCCACAAGGACTCTTCCACCTCTATGATTCTATAATTCATTACTTCCCTCAATCATTCTAGATCAGTGGTTCCCAATCTTTTTTTGACCAGGGACCACTTTGACTAGGGTCCACTCTCCAACATTAATACCAAAAGGGTTACAAATCAGTTTTTGGTCAACTTTAGATTCGGTTTGGTTATTTGAGGTGCTCATTCAGAAAAATGCATTGGATAGATCACATCAGCTCTAGTTTCGGATAGAGAACATATGACATCCAATAGTTACCATCTGCTTGCCCACAGAAAACCATATTTAATAATCTAAAGTTGATGTAGTAGTAGTTATCTTTCATGGATTGTCAGCATCTCCCCTCCTGACTTCCCGTTTTGTGAGACCAGTCGCTCTTGTTCATAGAATCATAGAATCCTTGAGTTGGAAGAGACCTTGTGGGCCATCCAGTTCAACCCCTTGCCAAGAAGCAGGAAAATCACATTCAAAGTATCCCCGACAGATGGCCACATGGTTTCGAGGCAAAGGTGTAGTAATGGTGAGGCCGTGGATCATATTTTCATTCCTGTGAACCACTGGTAGTCCACGGACCACAGGTTGGGAACCATTGGTCTAAATTCTATACTTTGTCCTAACTTTACTAGAATTGGGTTGTTGTAGGTTTTTTCGGGCTATATGGCCATGTTCTGAAGGCATTCTCTCCTGACGTTTCACCTGCATCTATGGCAAGCATCCTCACTACCTCTGAGAATGCTTGCCATAGATGCAGGTGAAACGTCAGGAGAGAATGCCTTTAGAACATGGCCATATAGCCCGAAAAAACCTTTACTAGAATTGCAGAATGAATCTGATTTACTGATAAACTGATTCACATTCCACAATTGGTTCAATGGATCTACTCTAGTTGGGACTAACCAACAGGATTCCAGTCCTTCCATGGCAGACATTTATTGCACAATGAGAAAATGTATTTGACCCACTCCACTTCCGGCACTCTGAGAAAGGCTACCTTCGGTTTTTGAATGATTCTGGGAAGAACAATCTGATCTTTTGAAATCTCTGCTTAATTGAGTTTATGCTGAGTTGTTTCTTTTATTTGAAGAACTTTCAAGTGGAAGGGAGTGGTCAAAAGAGGATTCCATTAATCTTCCAAGCAAAAAGTGACTTTTATGGTAGTCTGGAGATTCTGTTGAAACAACCTTTTGTAGCCAATAGTTTTGATTATGGCTTATCAAATAAAACTATACTTATGAGGTTGACCATGTTGATGCTACTTCTTATCTACAGTGGATTAACTATTCACCAAGTCATTAAAAGTGTACATGAATTTAACAAAATAATATGAATGTTTTACCTGGATATCTGGAAATCACTGTTATGCCTTTATCCAGTAGCTTTATGAAACTGAATAGAGACAAGGGAGATGGCTAAAGAGTGTTTTGTTTTAGCTTTAGTTGATCCAAGTTAAAGTTGAGCCATTCTTGGGATGTAATTTCTCTCTCCTGGATCTGGCCACAGTGGTCCACGCTCTTGTTACATCCCAAATAGATTACTGCAACGCACTCTATGTGGGGTTGCCTTTGAAGACTGTTAGGAAACTTCAATTAGTCCAGCGGGAGGCAGCCAGATTACTCACCGGAGCGTCATACAGGGAGCATACCACCCCTCTGTTATGTCAACTCCACTGGTTGCCGATCCAGTTCCGAGCACAATTCAAAGTGCTGGTTTTGACCTACAAAACCCTATACGGTTCTGGCCCAGCGTATCTGTCCAAACACATCTCCCTCTACGTCCCACCTCGGAGTTTAAGATCTTCTGGGGAGCCCTGCTCTTGGCCCCGCCTCTATCACAAGTGAGGTTGGCGGGGACGAGGAGCAGGGCCTTCTCGGTGGTGGCCCCCCACCTGTGGAATTCACTCCCCGGGGAAATTAGATCATCGACATCCCTCCTTTCCTTTAGAAGGAAATTAAAAACGTGGATTTGGGACCAGGCGTTTGGGTAATCTGGCAGATAAATAAAGGACAACGACGACGGATAGGAATGTACAATGTGGAATCAATTTATGGATTCTGAGCTGGCGAACGTTGAGCATGAGATTGATTTTATTGACTGTGATATATAATTGATTGTTTTTAGCTGTTATAACTGTTTTAATTGCTGTTTATATATGTTTATCTTTATTATTGTGTAGGCATTGAATTGTGCCTTTTGTAAGCTGCCCTGAGTCCCCCCTCGGGGGTTGAGAAGGGCGGGGTAGAAATACGAGAAATAAATAAATAAATAAATACTAGACTTGGTAAATAGTTGTTTCATTTGTTTTAGGTAAGGTTAAGGTTTCCCCTGACATCAAGTCTAGTTGTGTCCAACTCTGGGGCTTGGTACTCATCTCCATTTCTAAGTTGAAGAGCTGGTGTTGTCAGTAGACATCTCCTAGATCATGCAGTCGGCATGACTGCATGGAGCGCCGTTACCTTCCTGCTAAAGTGGTACCTATTGATCTACTCACATTTGCATGTTTTTGAACTGCTACGTTGGCAGAAGCTGGGGGTAACAGCAGGAGCTCACCCCACTCCCTGGATTTGAACTGTCAACCTTTTAGTCAACAAGTTCGGCAGCTCAGCGGTTTAACCCGCAGCGCCAGCAGGGGGCCCTTTTGTTTTAGACCTCTGCTATCCAACGGAATTCTGTATACGTTAAATTGACTTTTTGTGTTCGTTTGTCCTATAGAACTACATTTTTGTACTATATACAGAAAGGGAGATAATTTTAAAACTATGAAATACAACAGTTGAAGGTAGTTGTTTGACTGTTTATAACAAAAATACTAGCAATCGGTGGTATCAGAAATTCTCATGTATTGGTCCATTCTCACATATTTGTTTTGGATGCCAAATCCTAGAAATGCCAGCCAGAATGATCAATATTCTCATGATCCTGAGAACTTCAGCTCAAAACTTATGGAGAGGCCAGAGACTGTGAACTCTAGTCATAGAATCATGGAATCAAAGAGTTGGAAGAGACCTCATGGGCCATCCAGTCCAACCCCCTGCCAAGAAGCAGGAATATTGCATTTAAATCACCCCTGACATATGGACATCCAGCCTCTGTTTAAAAGCTTCCAAAGAAGGAGCCTCCACCACACTCCGGGGCAGAGAGTTCCACTGCTGAACGGCTCTCACAGTCAGGAAGTTCTTCCTCATGTTCAGATGGAACATAGTTGTTCAACTATTGGTTGTGGCGAACCTGTCGTTTTCTGGCCAATGTTCCCAGTACCATATTGGTGCCCACTGGCTATAATTATTTCTTTCTTTTCTAGAAGTTTTCTAGGAATGGGCAAAAGATGATTTGGAGACTGATTCAAAGACCATCACTTTGAGTAGTACTGCTCTAAAGCACATATACACTAGAATGTCAATAGTGGTGCACACCTGCAGTTATTGAGATGTGAAAGAAATCCACTCTCTGAACAGACTATGGTCCACACTACCATATGTTTCAGGCAAATTGTTGTCAAGCTATCCCTTAGAAGTCCCTGTTAAGGAGCAATGATCCTGAAGGCCAATCTATGTTGTACAATTGCAAAATGCATAACGTTGATGAATTTGCTATTTATTGAAGACCATTGGAGACTAGGACGCAATGGAACAATGGCTTCAAACTACAAGAAAGGAGATTCCATCTGAACATAAGGAAGAACTTCCTGACTGTGAGAGCCGTTCAGCAGTGGAACTCTCTGCCCTGGAGTGTGGTGGAGGCTCATTTGGAAGCTTTTAAACAGAGGCTGGATGGCCATCTGTCAGGGGTGCTTTGAATGCAATATTCCAGCTTCTTGGCAGGAGGTTGGACTGGATGGCCCATGAGGTCTCTTCCAACTCTTTGATTCTATGATTCTATGATTGGAAGAGCACTCCCATTGCAGTCTGCAACCAGGAGCATCTAGCTCTGGTGTGAGATTTTTGGCATGGCGCAAGGATGTCAAATGTGTCATTGTGAAGATTTTAATAAGCAGAACACTGCTAAGATTCTTAGGGTGCTTCCAGACAATGGTTTTGTTGTGCAATTGTGACACTTGATCTGGAGGTGCAGGTGGGGATGGGAATTCAGACAACATCCTTTTCTTCTGGTTTTAACTCTTCTATATTTTCCCACTGCTTAGTCTGGCTTTTTTCTTTTCTCACACACACAAAAACCCATTGAGGAGAAACAGTTGGAACAGCTGCATAATGTCTTTTGAGTGTTAGCGTTAGGAGCAATTCATCTGGAAA